TTTATATTCCTTCCTTTTATTTTTAACAATCTTGATCTTTAGTCCCTTCAAATAATGACCTAGAACTTGATTTTTTTTCATTTTTTTTCTTTGCCCCATCTTACAAAATTCTTCAGAACTTTAACAAGTCTCTTTTGTAAATCCAGTATAGGAAAATTATCCAGTAACTTTCTTGTTTAAGGTAGTACAGGTAGTCCTCGACTTACAACCACAATAGGGACTGGAAGATCCATCGTTAAGTGGTGCGGTCGTTTAAGCAAGGCATCACAGGACCACACCCGATTTCACATTTTTTGCAGCAGTCATTAAGCAAATCACTGCAGTCATTAAGCAAATTACATGGTCGTTAAATGAATCACGTGGTTCCCCATTGATTTTGCTTGTCGGAAGCTAGCTGGAAAGGTTGCAAATGGTGATCACATGACCCCAGGATGGCGCAACTATTGTAAATACATGCCGGTTGCTAAGCACCCGAATTTTGATCACCTGACTGCAGGGACACTTTGACAGTCATAAGTTCAAGGACCAGTCATAAGTCACTTTTTTCAGTGCCATTGTAACTTCAAATGGTTGCTAAACAAATGGTCGTAAGTCAATGACTACCTGTAGCAGAACACTCTAAACATGGGGGGGGGTTACATTTGTAGCTCTAAAAAATTAAATAAATAACAATGGGTGGATCAATCCTTGTCTAATCTCACTTTACATTTAGATTCATCATTGTGTTTTATGGCAATCAATTCCAAAAACATGGATTAATTCCAGACCAGTCTCACTGACCTTTATACCCAGTTTTGGCTGCAGGTCTGTGATGTCATGACTTTGACCCCCAACAGCACCCAGGACTCTTGACCCAGAAGTGGAGGTTGAGCCAGAACTCAGCCCTGACACCAAGATTAAGGATAACAAGAGACTCTGGAACCAGTCCCCAACTATATTTCCCTCTGAATAGATTCCTCTGTGAAATTGTTATCCTCTACATAGGCAGTGCTTCAGATGCAAACCGATGATGAGGTAACAGAATATCCAGTGCCAAGTCTTTAAGATTCTCCATTCTTTATCCAGGGAGTAAGTAGCTGGAATAGTCTGAGCAGGGAAAATATAAGGGTTCTCTTAGCTCCAGGTTACCTGTTTGGAGTCCTAAAGGACACGTTTAATTGCTCTTGGCCTCCAGTATCCTTAGAAATAAATTAGGATTATTCTCATTGTCAGTAACTTTGATTATGGATTGACGGTCTGCCCACATGGTCACGGCTGTTTTTTCATTAGCTCCAAGCTGCTTACCAAACCAGCCTCCTTCCTAGATGTCCATGAACTCTAACTAGACAGCTTATGCTTTTTAAGGTCCTCACTATTACTAGGGGTTACTGGTTGTCCAGGATACATGAGGGACAGTTATAGGTCATAATGTCCTGACCACAAGCAAAATTTCAACTTTTAACTCTATAAAGTTGAAGGACAACTGTCTTATAGTAAGAAGTTAGTATGGAAAGATAATCTTTTAGAAGTTATGTCATGTGCCTCCTCCAGCAGACCCTTCTTCAGTCTGATATGGTCTGGATGTATTAGATGTAAATGCCATCATCCTTAATCTGCAAAGTCATTTACTGTGCTGGCTGGGTATGATGGGTTTTAGTCAAAAACATCTGGAGGTAATCAAGTTGGAGAAGACTGTAGAGGAAATTCAGAAATTTAAAGGATGTGTTGTTCTTGTAGCAGGGAAGTCAGGAGAGAACAGGAAGCTCACAAGATGCATTGATGACATCAGGAAAAGACAAATAATCTCCCAAATTAGTACCACCCCATGCAACGTTGGACTCCTGTGGTTATGTGAACAGAAGGCAGTCCTACACGCCTTTGCATAAGAGAAATGGGAGATTAAATCTGCATTTTAGGCATGATTGTGGGAGCCAGTTTGGTGTAGTGGTTAAGGCATCAGGCTAGAAACCAGGAGATGGTGAGTTCTAATCCTGCCTAGGCATAAAGCCAGCTGGGTGACCTTGGGCCAGTCATTGTCTCTCAGCTCTGGGAAGGAGACAATGGCAAACCACTTCTGAAAAACCTTGCCAAGAAAACTGCAGGGACTTGTCCAGGCAGTCTCCGAGAATCAGACATGATTGAACAGATTAAAAAAAAAAAAGATTACTTGAAACTTAACTGGTCATGTATGTTTAAGATAAAATCATTAAGGATAAATATATTATTTATCTTTTGGAAACCAAATTGCCGTGGGGGGGGGGAACAAAGCTGTCTTTCTATCCCCCCAATTCATTGTTTTCAGGTGCCACCACTGAAAAGATGGGAGGAAACCAGTTGTTCTTGGTGCTTTTGGATTCACTGCTGTTGCAGCTGGATTTCTAGCTGATTCCCATAAAAAGGGAGCAGAACTCTCAGTTAGCATCCATACAAGATGTGCAGAAGCTACATGTTGTAACTGGTTCTTTGTTCTAGTACTGTTGGTAATATGGGAAGAAACTCAGTGTGCATTTGTGCATACGTGTGTGCAGAGCAGGCATCAAACTGAGGAGCATTCTACTGAGACGATTGTGCTGCCGACTCTAGTCTTATGATGCTCCTGAACTAATGAAGATCAGCACTTAGTTATGAATTGACTGGATGGTCTTACGTGGGAGGTGGATACATAGTTATTTTTAGCATAGGAGTATTAACGCTGGAGCTGAATCTTCTGTTTCCCTATATGCTTTTCTTCCTTTGTATACACTGCTTGGCATACAGTGAATGTAGTAGCCTGTTTTCCAAGAAAGCCTCAATCACAAAGGTGGTATATTACTGAAATAAATTTGCATGGCTCTCAGTATAAACCAGCGTGGCTATGGACAAGAGTAGCTAGGGAATCTTTAACAAAGGGTGAATTCTCAAAATTATAATTCCCAAGCTTCTTAGGGAAAGATAACCAAACCACTTAAAAATTAATTCATATGCATCATCTGGCATTTTTGCTTTTTTTCCTCTTTTAAAATCACCTAATTGAAATAAACCTATAAAGATGGATAGTATAAATCTGTAGCATTGTGATAGAAAGAATTGGCTCAGCCCCCAAAAAATTAGCAATGATTCTACACTAGGTAGAGAATTGTTGGTCCTGACAGCGGATGTATTCTCTTTTCTTCATAGGAAGATACTCAAATAAAATGCCAGATGCAAAGATGTTCAAGTTGCCTAGAATGATGGAGAAGTCACATCTCCAAACACCAAACAGGTCAGCAAGATTTGTCCATCTGATTTCTCTTCTCCCACTGAAGCCTTCATCCTTCATCCCAGGTCTTTTGAGAATTCCCCGAACCATAAGTGTTAGCCCCACTAGATGGACCAGATCAGGAAACCAATTCCACAGGAGGGGTAAAACTACTTTTACTGAAACTGGCTATAATAACAGAATCTTGAAAATCTGATTGTGCTGTACCTCCTCTACCTGGTGAGGATGACTCATGCCCCTTTCTTCTTTTTTGTCCCCTTCCAGGTTTGTTTTCTTTGCCATCATTGTTCTTTTGTCTTGGGCTATTTTTGTGTTTTTTGTATTGTTTTCTGCTCTTAAACGTTTTTAACAATTTTAAACCACCCAGAGTCGCTAGGAGTTGGGTGGCATATAAATTTAATTCCTCCTCCTCCTCTTCCTCCAGTACCAAATCCTGCTTGGCCTTGTCTTCTACAGTCATATATCCAGTTGAATTTCCATGAGTTAGAAGTATTAACATCAAAATACTATGATGAATTCTAAATCGAGAAATTAATTTATACGGTTTAGCACAGCGTAGTGCTAGTTTACATTGTGCACTCATTTGTGTAACTCTCAGCATCATATTCTTTACTTTCTGCAATTACTTAAGTAAAGTGTTAAACTATCAGTCTACCAGCACTTGCGGTCTACTGTTTCTCCCTCTACCCTTTGGGCAAAGCTCTAAGAAAGAAAAGAAAAGGTGCCATTGCTAGAGCAAAATCTCTCAGATAAATGAAGACACACACCCACCCCCAGGAATATTCAGTGGAATGCCCACCTGGGTCAACACTGAGTAGCGATTGAGTAGTGGGTCTTCAGTGCTGGAGCGATGAATTTAAAAGGATTATTTTTTGTTTAATCCTATTATTTGTCTCACATACCTATTTGGAACATGCAAATCAGCATTCAGATGACTTGCTAATATTTCATGACAGAACTTTCAGGGAACTATCAGAGTCTCCTTTTAATAACTTTAATAGTAAATCACTGAGCAATGGCTTTTCTTACATTCTTGATTATTCACAATGACTGCCATCAATAGTTTTTCCAGGAATAGTCCCCATTTTGCAACCAGTAATCTCCCCTTTTTCAGAAAAACAGTAGGGTTTTGGGAAATTAATCAATATTGTGCTTTTTTTTTTTAATTTGGACAGGATTTTCTCTTCTGTGACTTTCAGTGAGATGGCCAAATCCAAAGCAGTAAAGAACCTGAGTAAGCCACAGCTAGAAGGTATTTCTCCTGCTTCTGAACCATATAACTGTACTGAGTCTTCTCAAGGCTCTATATATAGTCTGTGGGGAAACTGTCTGAAAACCATCATAATTGGTCCTGCCCTGCCAATATTATAAACTTAAAGTCTTTGATTTAAATATGCCTTCTTCATGAGAACTCTGGAAGTTTGTTTGGAGAAGGGTTTTGCTTAGAGGTTTCCAAGCATAAAATAGAAACGTTTAACCTTTGAATTGTTTTAATAGTTATACTGCTGTTTTTCATAGATTTTATCAAAGATGTGGCAGTTAACTTGTACTGATATTATGTGTGGTCTTCATAATCCTCAGAAAAATACATGAAAATAATGTAATGGCAACTGTAAGAAATCAGCTTCCAAAACAGAAAATATATAAATAAAGTGATATTTCCTACTGTGAGGAATGAAAACATGCTATCGTTGCCATGTTCTTGCAAGTCTTTTGCTTTCCTTTCTTTTTCTGGACATCAACTTTTTAAGTGATTTGAGCCCTGAATCACCTTCAGTAACCTGCTGTAATGTTACAACATCTGGAAGGACTCTTAATGCTCTAGTAGAGCAGCCTTCCCAATTTGAATCTACAGGAAGTATCTCAGTTTAGTTACAAGCATCAGATTGTACAGCAGCTTTAGAGAAGAAATTGCCAAGGTTCTCATAAAACAATTTCCAGAATTTGGGGCTGGGGGGGAAGGGTATGTAGTTTGGTCATATAATACACAAAATGTAGAAAATTGCCACATTTAAAGTTATGTTGAAAACAGTGAAGCATCCGTACTTTAGATCATCCAGTACTAAGGTCATGCCCTTTACACATGTTAATCATCAATTCCCATAATTCCCAGCAAGCATGGTCAGTTATGGCTGATAATTATGACAATTGGTCCAGCACAATGGGAGGGAATACATCAGGCTGGACAATCATTTCTTTAGTCCATTAATTCCCTGAGTATGAGACAATAATGGGATTAATTAGGAATCAGATGTGAGGACAGGGTACATTCATAGCAAAAGGCTGGTGAGCGGATGCCCGATCCTTCTTGCTTCCAGTACCCAATCTTTGGTGGTCTCCCGAGTCTCACCCCCTCCTTTTTCTCTCTTACTCTGTATCTCTGCATAGCCTTCCGCACAGCTTATGATACATTCAGGAAGGACCTCGATGGAACAATTGATCTGACAGCCCTAGAGATCACAGCCCTTAATTTAGGAATCATCTTAACTGAGGAGGAAGTCCTTGATGAACTGATGTATGCTGACATAGATGGTAAGTGCATACAGGTAGTCCTCGTTTAGCGATCATAATTGGGACTCCATTGCTAAGTGGACACAAACAACAAGAGAAGCTCCTTGCCTTCATGGGTTGTATGTGGGCTTCTCAGAAGCAATTGGCTGGCTACAATTTGAAATAGGGTATTACATGAAATGGACTTTCAGTCTCTTCATATTCTGGTAGTGGATAAAGGGGTTAGAACAGTGGTGTGCTGGTAAATGTTTTACAACCAGCTCTCCCCCCCCCCACACCCCCAAACCCCCAGTGCCTCCTTTGCTGCTGCCATGTTGTGCCCCTAGCTGCCAAGCAGCTGATTGACGCACCAGCCCTCATGGCTCTGCTCAGGTTGTGAGACTAGGCTGAAGCTGCCA